CACTTGGCTTCCTCCCTCCTCCCTAATCTATCACCAGTGGATTTCATATAACCCACTTCCACTTATGTCTTCTCCTTTGATTGTAAGGTATAAAAATAGATGAAAAACTGCCATTCTCTGGAGCCAATTCATTGAGATTCTGCTTCCTGGCAATTGTCAATAGTTTGGCTCAAATAAACTCACAAAATTCTCTACAGGTTTGAATGTTTTTACGTTAACACCAGCATCATGCAGTATCCACAGAGAATATAGAGACAATTTCTGATTGGAGGAGGCAAAACTTCATGGGGGAAGTTATGTGAGTGGTTTAAAGGATGGGTTGGGCTTCAATAGATGTAAATAAACTAGAGAATAAGAAGCTATAGACCAAACGCCTTACTCTAAAATTGTAATATTGTTGCTATTAGCAAGATGGCAGAATTTTTTTGTTTGTTTTTCTCTTAGGTCCCTTCTCTGGGCTCCTGAAAGCAAAGCATGGGATCTGCTGCCAGAACTGCTTCTAATAAAGTTGTCCTGTTTACAGGTTTTTGATAAGCTGTTTTTATTCTTGAATAAATAAGAAACGATGCCATTGTCCCCTACAAAATAGCTCAGGCTTTACTTGAACAAAATCTGTTTGGAAATGTTAAGCTGGTTTCACAGGACTAATATGCCTCAAGGTGGTCATTCTCTCTGGATTAAAGCTGTGGAACAATTGTGGCTCCTGTTACAAGGAAAATAACAAAAGGTCATTATGAAAAGGGACAACAATCTCTGTTCCCAGAGGGGGACTGACAAGCTGAAAGTCCCCCTCTACAAGTCAACACAAAAGCCTGATTGCCTCCAATTGTTTGTTTATGTAAATCAAAGGCAACCATTAATTCTGCTAGTGGGACTGCTAAGCAGCAAAGAAGGTGGCGATTGGCCCAAATCTTGCTCATGGGCTGGTGGCAAATCTGACAAATCCTATTGCTTTTATTCTAAATGCTCTCTGGGCACCTTTAGAAAAAGAAGCTTGTTATTATGTACTAAAGTAAAAAAATTGTATTCTTAGAGTCAGAGTTGGAACTATAGGACTTGAAGGCAAGAAGACTTATCGAGGATCGATTTACTCAGTTTCCCCAAAGCTCTCTCTAAATTGGACTCAACTGTACATCATGACGGATGTTCCAGTGACATTTAGCCAGGTTGAGTGTAATGGGGATACACCACCTGAAAACGGTAACCCACCAATCCCCAAAACCAATGATGAGGTCAGAGATGTGGATGGCACCCCATCATACTACAGGGTGGAACCGAGTCTTGAAGATTTGCCCACAGAAGGAAATCTGGAGAAAAGTGAAAAATTACAAGGGAAGATGCTGCTCAACTGGCCCAAGGATGAGAAAACTCTAAAAGGTAAAACATTTTCCTTCTTTTCAATTTGTTTGATTTGATTTGTAAACTCATCCAGGATTCTTTTGATAAATTGTCATGACAGGAATGTGATGTACATCCTCCCACCCCCATCCCTGTCCAGATGTGGCCCCTTTTGCTACTGGGGCTGCATAGTATTAGGACTAAACTTGTGCCACGGGTTAAATCCAGGCTTATCTACTTGATAGCTCTGTGATCCTGGACAACTTTCCTAGCCTCCTGAAGACTTAGTTTTCAAAAGGCAGAATAATGACATTTGTCAGGTTGCTGTGAGGATTACTCAGTATTGGTTAAATGTTAGCTACTGTTATTTATTATTCTTATGGACAGCTCCATTATTATTTGAGCAAAAGGAATTCAGAATTTCCAATTTTTCTTCTAAATATACCATAAAGTGTTTGAATCGTGGTTATATACCTTAGATATGAAAGGAAGATTAGCATTATGTTTATAAATAAAAGGAACCAATGAAAAAATGAGGGGGAAGAGTGAAATAGTTATTTTTAGTAATCACAGTTAAAAATCAATTGTTAGAGTCTGAATTGATAATTTATTTAACCCTGAACTACTTAAGCATTAAAATATTAACCTAGTGTGCTTCCCCTTCCCCCTCACCAGAAAAACCAGAAGAGCATCTCTTCATTGTTCATAAGGCCATCACAGATCTTTCTCTCCAAGAAACCAGTGTTGATGAAATGACATTCAGAGAAGGTAAGAGGAACTGCTCCATTTTGTACACAATTTGTCTGACTGGGTGTGGGTGACAGTTTTGGCATGGGATGTTGTGTGAGTGTAGTGCTGAGAAAGCAACCCAGGCAATGCCTTCCAAAGCTCAACGCTGCTGTTGGCAGATAAGGGAGTCTTGATTATCTGTGGGTTCCACCTTAGAAAGTATTCTAGAAGCTTCAAGACAGACTACGTGGATTGGTGTAACTGATTGTCACAATTTGACCTGAGAATATGTCTGTCATCTGTCTCTTAGTAAGTTAGTCCACTAAATCAATGTTTTTTAAATTTATTTAGTATCTCAAAATCTGTGTGAGTCAACTCGTGAAATATAAATGTTTTCAAAAGGGTTTATCCTAAAAGTTTACCATTGACATACAGTTTAAAATAATTTTATAAATTTATTTGATATAAAGGAAAATTCCAAGCCTCTGAGGTAAACACAAAATGGTTACCTAATTCTTGTCAAAGAAATCTCCCAGGTGGTAATTTTAATTGTATTTTTCAGATTAAAAGCATTGTGAGAATAAAAAAAACAAACAATCATTGATTTTTAACTGACTATATTGTATTTCAAATAAACTCAAGAGACTAAGAGACACACAATCTTTTAGACTTCTCTTCTAAGGAGATATCTATATTCAAGCAATTTCCAAATACAGAGAAGAATAAAAACCTATTAATTAATAATGTGTGTCCTCTCTTGCAGCCATAAGCCTCTTATCTCAAAACTGAAGTCAGCTTGTTAGACCTAAGCGATTTAGTTTAGTTAGGACCTTAACAGGAAAAATATTGATGAGATAATTGTTTGAATTTAAACATCACATACTAGTAAAATAATAGATGCCAGGGAAGACATGGATGTGATTGGCAGTTTCCTGGGTTTGTCCACTTTGCCTGGACACCTCCCAGACTGCCACTGACCACATGCAGTGGTCCGCTGTGTAGACACATAAGGAAGAATGTAGTAAACAACAGGCCTTGTCAAGCTCTTACCTTATCACCGATAATCAGTCACTTAAGCCCCTGTGAAATGAACTAACACTCTGCCCTGATCTTTGTGCTTCCAATGTAGGTTTTGAAAGCAGGGGTCTCAATTTTCATCTAGAGCCCCTTTCAAATTTCTAATCAGGAATTCTAGTGGAGACAACATTTTTCTAGGATCTTTCATTTTTATCATATAGAGAACAAAAGCAGTCTGGATTTTCAGAGTAGTGGGTATAAGGGTGAATTTTTCCCTGAATGAATTCTTTTGTTTTTGGTGGAACATATATTTTTCCTGTAAGCTAGAGGTATATGTTTTGTTGTTTTGTTGCCTTTTATGTTCACAATGACAAGCAGCTATAAAGTCTCCAAAGAGAATATTCCTGGGTTAAAGAAAAATAGAAAGATGCTAAAAATATTGAAGAAAAACTATAATTTAAATTCAAGAAGTAATTTCATGCATGACAACTCCATGCCCGAGTCATGAATATGAGCAAAAAGATCATTTTATTTGGTTCTTATGGAAAAAATAAAACAAAACAAAGTTCAATATTCTCATGCACATTTATTTATAGAGTAAACAACATGGGCTGGGTATCTGTGCACAATGAGTTAGAAGTGAAAAATCCATCTTCAACTCTATCTCTTTTTGTAAGTTTACCATTTGACTCCTCTAGTTGGGAAAACAAAAGAATAAAAAGAGAATGAAAAATATTTGATGGAAATGAACTTGTGAACATCTTTCAGTGAAAATAGAAAATTGTGGCGGGGAAGGGCAAAGAGAAACCTCATCTCTCACTTTAGGTCAAGGCTCTTAGAGTGTTGAAAGGGAATAGCAGACCCAGGCCTGACAAGGACTCAACACAGGCTATATTTCTGAGTCATGCGCACTGCAGACAGATGCTTTCTACACAAGTCCTCTGGGGTGAAAGCTCACAGAGCTACCTCTACTCTCTGATAATTCATTCTTTTTGCATTCTCTATAAATATTGTTGGGAGTATCCTAATATGATCCGTTTGCAAAGTGAAGTTTGCAATGAATTAAGTCTTTTAAAAATCAGGATATGGTACCAAACAACTTAAATTAATTAGTTGTCATTAGGGACATGTCTAAAGCAATAGGCTAATCTAGCACTATGTAAATATGACTCAACATTATTTTTAAATCTTGGCTCTCTAGAAATTCATAGCAGGTATCAGACTAAAGTGTGTGTGCTTTGTGGGTTTGGTTTAGCCTCAGTTTGTGACTTCTGACCATCTGTGGTCCTCTGCTCCTCCTTCTATACCTGGTACCTTAGGGCAACTCTGAGAAGCGTGGGGGCAAATACTGATTGTGCTACTCTGAGCATGACAGACAGGGGCCGCCTTGTTTTTACTATTGGAAGGAAGCCATCTTCATTTCCCTGTGAGATATTTTTGTAATTTTTTCTGAGGGGTGTGTGTGTGTGTAAGATATAGGTCCAAATATTTATTTTACATATTCACATTTAGTCATGACAGGCTAGAGACGTTTTTAGAAGTGTGTCTCAGCAAATACTGCTCTCACTCAATACAATAGTCCACAGCAGCAACAACAAATCCATAGTCAAGTGAGGTTGAGTTGCTAACTTTCTTGGAGATTTACAATATTCTTTAGCATTTGAAAGGCTTGGATGAATTCTGAGGAAGCTCACTTAACAGTGTTAAACGCAATGTTTTCCAAATGAATTTGATGGACTAGCCCATTGTATGGTATAAAATATCTTAGTAACCCACACAATAGTATTTCATAAAACAAATGTGGGGAAATGATTGTCCAGAAAAATAATTTGGAGAACAACATCTGAGTTTTTGGAATCTCTGCACATCTCAGCTATCAATTGATTTTGCTACAGGGCATCCGTGGAAGAAGATTCCTCTAAGCAGCAGTAACCAGGAAATAAGTAGACAAAAGGAGAGGATTGCTGAACAACCTCTAGAAGAACGAGAAGTTGGGGATAGGAAGAGCAAAGCTTACCAGGCAACTGAAATCGAATGGCTGGGATTTCGAAAAGCTGGCCAAGTTGATGTGTTGCATGACGAGGAGCAAGAGGTTTGGGATGAAGAAACTAACAATGAAGATGATGATGAAGATGAAGTTCGAGTGATAGAATTTAAGGAAAAACACGTAGAGGGTTCTCACTTCAAAGAGGAAGGTGATCCAAGTGAGGACTCCCCGCTGAGCAGCCCCAGTTCCCAACCTGTGACCCCTGATGAGCAGCCACCTTTTGGGAAGAAGAGTGATATTTCCAGAAATGCTTATTCAAGGTACAACACAATATCCTACCGGAAAATCAGGAAGGGGAATACCAAGCAAAGAATTGATGAATTCGAGTCTATGATGAATTTATAAACTAACTGGATCTGAGAAGTTCTCAGCCCCACTAAAGCAAAAGCTAATTCTGTTTTCCCGAGATGCATCTCTGTATCCCTTATGTCAGTTATCCTCTTTAAAGATGTGGAAGCTTCCTTTCTGTTTCACTGTAGAATAATGTGGAAATAACCCTAGGCAAAATTCAGTCTGGTAACTTCAGATCAAAAACCTTTACGTTTATTTACGGACATTTGCTTTTTAAAACTTCACTAACATAGCACATGTGATAAGCCCCGAACAGCTGGAACCCCTGGGGAATCTGGCATGATTTGGCTTTAAAAGGAGCAGCGCTGGGAAATACAGTCATTCAGTGCAGAGACCTATTTGATACGATTCCTGTATTTCTTTTGGGGTCTTTCTTCCTGTACCCTGAGGCTGCTAGAAAGTCTGTTGTTAACCCTTTCTTAACTTTTAAGCACTATTTTATAGACTCGGCCAGTAAACTTTTCAAAAGACTTTGCCTTTCCTATTACCTTCAAAAGAGATTTTAAGTGGTTTCCGTGGCATCCGCAGAGTGAAAATTTGGTACAGGCTTCTTCCTCACTGTTACCATTCACTGAATTTTCTCACTAGAGGAGCTGAGCAATTGTGAATCCAGAGAATTCTGTTTACTGAATGTTGCCTTTATGCTCTCAAGATGAATTAAATCCATTGTGAGGTTGGTACAGGGAGGGGCTACACAATTGGTGGGCAACAGACTAAAGAATTATATTGGATAGTTTTATTTCTGTGACAAAATAAAATCTTGTCTAGCAAAGTGAAAGTCATTAAAAATGAAAATGAGGGCCTTAGTACATCTTAAAAATATACCCCCTCTTTATTATCACACTTTTCCTTATTAATTATATCTCAGAATAATTTTCTTTCCTTAGAAACCTGAGACAACTCTAGTCATAACTGTACTAGTTACTATGAAAATGGAAATACTTATCTTAGAATATTCTCAAAGTAGAGTGTGAGCATGCATTTTTAGTGAGAAAGCTCTGATAGTTGTTGGGAAAATATGATTCACTGGACTTCAGCCCAAATCGAGATGCTTAAATGGAGTTTCATCAAACCAATGTGTCAAATAATGTATTGAGTATTTATGAAAAAGGAGAGTCTATATTTATATAGATTTCTTAGATAGTTTCATAATTTTTTATTTCACGCTTCCATATATATTATCTGGTATTTTCTGTCGCCACAGATAAAGATATTTTTTGGCCCTGCAAATAAAAAGACAATTCCTTATTGTCTGAATGTAATACAGTCTTCATTGTACTAGTCAACCCTTTGTTTCTTTCTTTTTCATTTTGTAAAAAACGCTGGTTTCTCCCTTCTTAGATTATTGCTTATTTATGTGTAACAAATCCCACACATTCTAATGGCAATTTCTTTAATTCTTCCTGGTCATGTAATATATTTCCATAGTATCATGTACTTTTAGTTAGTGTTTACAAGGCTCAATTTTGAAATAAGATTGCAGTGTTCCTCTTATTCTTTCAAACAGATACTTTGCAACCTGAATGTATAAATGTTCTGCCATCCTTCATCAGTAGAACCTGTAGCTTTCATTCTTGACAAGGCAAGTTTTCAGAATAAAGCTAGGAAAATCAGGTCTTTATTGATAAACGTGGATAGAAAATGAATGCACTAGATCAATTTCCTGTTTATTTAGATCCTCTAAACCTGTCCATCAGGACAACCTAGTTTCTTTTCTGGATTACTGATGACCCCTACAATTTTCTATTTAACTTCAAAGCTCAGTGTTGCATTAGCCATCACAGAACAAGATCATATTGTTAATCTACCATGAACAGGGCCTATATTTTAAATTATTCCAAGGGAGATGATGATGTGGTCTATGGCCTTTTGATATGGCCAAGCAACTAGCTCTTTTGCAGCTCCAACGCATATATATAGTAACCCTGGCCTTTTTAGCTTTGTGCTTTTACCAGACAATGCAGCATGAAAGATTTTGTCAACAAAGATTCTTCAGGGCATATTTGATGAGTACATACTTAATGCTCATGGATGAGGCAATGTAGTTGCAAAAGAGCACTGAAAATATTCTTGTTTTAAAATGTATTTTTATTGATTTTAGAGAGGGGGGAAGAGAGAGGGAGAGAGATAGAAAAACATCAATGTGAGAGCAAGACATCTATTGGCTGCCTGCTGCACACCTCCCACTGGGGATTGAGCACAACCTGGGCATGTGTCCTGTCTTGAATCAAACCAGCAACCTGTTTGTGCATGGAATGATGCTCAACCAACTGAGTCACACTGGCCAGGGCTGAAACTATTCTTTGACATTGCCCTGTGCTGCTGCCATTTTACATTAAGGCCACAGAATTAGGTGACCATAAATAACATGACAGTGATGGGTGGTCGTTTGATTCTTTGTAACCTAGGAGAGACAAGGGTCTGGTTCAGATTGCATGAGGGATATTATCACATTAGAATACAAATTGGTAACTATACAGGAAAGTTTACTACTTTTGTGATTCAAGGTTCCAGGTTGGAAGAAAGACTCTGGTATTCGGGAGGAGGGAGAGTTGAATTATTGTGAGAATGCTGATATTTCTTACTTGACTTTTCATTTTCTTCAGTGGCTGGATGAACAGGAATTAATAACAGCTCTATTTCTCTGTCAATTTAAAATGTACCTTTAATATAAGGCTAATTTTGAAGACACAGAATATGTCACAGTCTATCCATCCAGTAACAAATTAATTAAAGAACTCCTGTGTCTGACTTGTTCTCAATAAAAATTTGGATCCTTGTTTTTGGTGTCTAGATTTTTTTTTCTTTAGCTGCCCTTTAAAATTGAGAAGGAAACCTTGCATATCAGCAGCTATTAAGAAGATCAATAAATGCTTATTCAGAAATCAAGAGAACATGCTATTTCAATTCATTTGCATTGTTTATTTCTATAGGTCTTCAAATGATTGTATATGAAATTGCAAAAATTTCTAATGGCTAGTATGTAATGTTCATGAAAATTTTCTATTATTTTTACAGGAACTGAGCTATTGTTTTAGATGCATCTTAACTCCAAAACTTAAAAAAAAATCTTTGTAGTCATGAAGGTAATATATGTAAACTATGCCAGTGCTTTTATAGTAATTGTTTCTGCATATTTACATGGAGTAGTACTCTTGGTACACTTACAAATGGCAAATGGATATTTGAGTTTTTCAAAATGATATGAAAAATATTTAAAATAAGTAATAATAGAGAATTATGGGAAAAGATGAAGCACTCCTGTATCATAAAGAAGAAATATGTTTGACCATATGAGAAGGGCAACTCCATTTTTTAAAGCTTGAACTTTCATTGTTCTATAAAAACAAAAAGGGTTATAAAAAGTAAGATAAAAAGTTATAGCAAACATTTGCCAATATTACAATATCAGACTATACATATAAAAGGCTAATATGCTAAGTGTCTGACCGGTCGCTATGTTGCAGTGACTTGGCAGTGGCGGTTCTCAGGTTAAGCACCCCGAAACCAGAGAGGAGGGAGACCGATGGGGCCGCGCCATTCCACCTTCTGCCATGGATTATGTTGTTGCTGGGGCACTGTTGGCCCTGAATCTGGTTTACTGCATACTTGCATTTGTGTTCCACACCCTGTACAAAAGCAACTTTGCAGAGTGCCCTCTTGCACCGGGACTCCTCGGGGCATGTTGGAAAGCTGGTTTCGGCCCAATCCCAGCAGGCCAGGCTGAGGGACCCCCACCTGCCAGAGGCACCCTGCTCACTTCACAGGGAGGGACAGTGGGAGGTTGCTCCAGGGTGTGCCCAGCCCATCTCGCCCAGTCCCGCCTCATCAGCCACCTTCTAATTAATTTCTTTTAAACATGCACAAATCCATGCACCAGGTCACTAGTAACATAATAAATATGAATTCCAAAATGTGTATACAGCTCATAAAGAACATGAGGTGATTAGACCATACAATCAACAGAAACACAGTGACATGGGTAGAAATCAGCAGTAGGAATCAGTCAGATACATGGCAAACTACATAATCAAATGTTAATGTCTATTAATTAATTGCCAGCTAAGGAAATTTTTGAAAATGAATTTGGAAAGTGATTTAGATTTTTACTTAGAAACTTCAAAATCAAACATTATATGTTTGCTTCCTTCTTTATAATAACTTCAGTTGGTCAGAGGCAGAAACATTGGATACTTAAAAATATTCAAGTTAACTCCAAATTCCTGTATACTCCATAGTTTTAATCTAGTTCTCCCCATTGACAAATGTTTTCAGATAATCAAAAACAAAATTCACTAATTTGACCTTTGCCTCCTCTCATTTTTATCACCACCTCTTATAGCTTAATGTGTATAAAACCAGCAACATTTGGGCAGTTGTTTTGAAGGAGAGGAGTTAAGGCGTGTGTATAACCCTAACCTGAATAACAAACATTTTGAAGATTTAGGGTTTGATTACTCCTTTCAAGTATGAAAAACAATACCCAGAGTGAAAGTCCACCTGCACTTTTGTCCAGAAAGCCAGATGCAGACAGAGCTATGCACTTAAAAAGAGAGTTAAAAATATCAAAACCTATTTTTTTATTTTCTTTTTTTTTAAGTAGAAACTCTTGGTTTTACTTTCTCCCAATTCAAAGCATAAAATATAGAGACTCATATATACATATATATGCATAAAAATAGATATATGTGTGTATTTGTATATATTCATATATTTGTATATATTCATATATACAAACATGCACATATCTTTACAAAGATAAATATTTTTTTCAATAGTCAAGAGAAGATCTGCTATCAAAAATTTTAGTTTCAATATCTAATATAAAGGCTATATATATATATATATATATATATATATATATATATATATATATATATATATATATATATATATATATATATATATATATATATATATATATATATATATATATATATATATATATATATATATATATATATATATATATATATATATATATATATATATATTATGACTAATATTCTAAAACTGGCAAATATCTATCAATCAATAATAAAATAGAAAGCCTCTGTTTTTAAAGAAATTATTTGTTACTTATTTGATGGCAACTGTCATCATTAGGGACTCAGCATATTAGCAGAGTTGCTCTATTTGCTGGAAAATGAGAATTTCATGTCTGTTTTTGCAAAGCAAAGATTCACTTAAACTTGCAAAGAGACGTTAAGTGATAATTATTAGTTGACTCATTAGGTTGAAAACAGAGGCAGTAAGTCTCCTTAGTGTAGTGGTATTCTTTTTCTTTTTTTTTTTTTTAGATACAGGCACCACCAACACCTGAAATACCATCCAATAAACCTCACCCGGAGTATATAATACTTTACATGGTTTATTCAAACCTGTCCATGAGATGGCTATTTGCCAAAAATAAATACTTTCTACATTAGCTTTGGTTAGTGTTCCTTTTCTTGTTGCAAGACATTTTGGTTTGTAGGAATTGTTGAGTAACCTATGCAAAAGTTGTTTGTTGCAAAAACACTATGGTGGCAACACATAGAAGTAAAAATTACAAGTCTCGATTTATGCTTTAAATTAAAGGACTCCTCAATTTTTCACTTCCCACCTTTGTTCAGATCTGTCAGCTTTGATTAATGCTTAGGGGAAGAAAGAATTGGTAATATTCAAAGAGAAGCAATCTCTCTATAGCCACTTCTCCCTCTCATATTTATTCCAGAAAATGGAAAAGAATGTGTCCAACATGAAGTCAAGGAGATAGACCACAGCAAAGCATGTGGGGATGGTTATCTGTAAGCTACACTTCAGTTGTTTAACAGAAGGGGTGCAACTTCTATTTCCTGACTGTAGAGCATCCAAGAGTGAAAACAAAGAGGTTTGATTCCACAACCAAAGGATTTTAACTGAGCTCCACTGAGCTGACTGCCTACTTAAAAAAAAAGAAAAGAAAAATCATAGTAACATGGCATAATGAAAGAGACTTTATTTTCTCTTTTTTTGAGCCACATAGAATAAAAATTAGGTTTTTAGCTATTACAGTGGGATGACATTAGACAATCCCTCTCAAGAGCCATCCTCTTGTCTGCATAATGAGGAGAATGAGACCTACCTCTCTGAGTTGTGCACAACATCGAGCTGTGCCTAGCACATAGTAGGTACTCAAAGATAATTTGTTTTCACTTTTTTCCCCCATTTACTCCTTGTCATTTCCTTGTTTTTATCCAAGGTATTGGGCCTTCATCTGAGGCATAATTTATTTCCTGTGTTTGCATGTGGAAGTTAAATTAAAGGTGTTAAAACAAATAAAGATGGTACTATCTGGTACATCTCAACCCCATTATCTTGCATGAGAGCCTTCTGAAGATCACTGTAAGCTATTCATGAAATCAAGGTTGCCCAGGGAAATGGAATTCCTATACTCTAACAATATTTTTGCCCCTTTACAATTCCTAAGGCCATACTAGAAACAAGGTGTTTTAAAAGCTAAGAGAATATTTCCAAATTAGTGTGGAGAGGCCAACAATGCATTGTAATCATGATACATGATGGTTTTTGGCCCAGTGAGTGACAGCTAATTGAATGTCAGCAAGCAGAATTGAGGAAATTTGATGCTGGTGATAAAACATCGTTGTACCAACAACAGCTGTGCCATCCTTTCGGGAGAGTGGGGTAGAAGCTTTGGGTAGCTGCTGAAAAAGAGAAAGAAATTGTGCAAACTGAAAAGCTCAGAAGCACTCAGATGGTTTGGTAAGTTAGTTTTTGGTGAAATAAGTCCTGCAAAATATTATAAAAGCTACACTTGTGTTTTAGGTAATAGACATTTTTCTAAGAAGGGCAATGACTCAAGTCAATCAAGGAAAAACTGTGAAGTCCCCAATAATACAGCCCCGATAGAAAAATTCTGGGCTAATAAGGGTCCTATTGTGTCCCTTCCAAGGGTTTTTCATTAGAAGTATCAGAAGACCTTGTAGCACTTTTACCTCTATTGCAGCCTTCTGAAAACAGAATTTATAGGGCAATGCTTAAAAAAAAATTTGGTAGTAGATTTTACAATTAGCACTGGCAAGATCAGGCCTAGAAGATTCTTAACTAGTGATTAGTTATTTGTATTTTAGAGGAATTGAAAGTATACAT